TATATATATATATATGTATATATATACATATATAATCATAAAATTAGTTAAATAATATATCATTCTTACAATAGTGTCTTGGTTGATTTCATCTGTCTTTTCAGTAACAGTGGTGAGCAGTCCTAATCTGTCAGTTACTGAACTTGGCACAGGAGGAATCGAAGAATTGGCTAATAGTTCTACAATTGACATTCGTATCTAAAGAATATAAAACAAATGCGTTTAGGTAAATAAATGCATTTTCTTTTTTCAAAATAAATAATCACTTAATCACTTGATTAACCAATTAATGATAATCAATAAATCAATCGCTAAAAGGTACAAATACAACACTACTTTCACGATTAAATCAATTCTGTTCCTTAGCATCATAATAAGAGTTAAAAAAACAATTTTGTCTTACATTTGCACGTCTAATTCTACTCTCTTCTAGTTCCTATGAAAAGAAAAAATAATAAATTACTTTAGCTCCTGACATCTTGAGATTGAATTGTTCACTGTATTTTCGTTTCTGTATTTTTATTTTGATGGTCAAAACAAATAGGCCTAGAGTATTAAAATATAAAAATGAATGAAATGACATAAATATGTAAAATATCTCTCTGTAACTATTTGTAATGAAAAAGTAGTATTATCATTACATGATGTACCAAAACAATTTACTCAGTATTTTAAAGATGACACGTTTATTTGTAAGTTCACTGACAGAAACTGATAGCCTACCTCTGCTGTTTGCGATGCGTTTACAACTACATGCATTAAAGAAAAAAAGTAATGAATATAATGAAATTGCAAGTTTATTGAGCGACACTTGTCAGGCAATGACATTAGAAAGACAATAACTTAGCATATAGCAGCGTCTGTTTTATATATCTTAAGGTAGTTAGGGACGTCCTGGGTACGATATTAAACTCCATCCGGTCGAAGCGTCGGCGACTAAACTGACAACCATCTCAGATGTGTCTTAGTGGCTGCTGAGGGGAGGGTGTTTATGGTCACCCTGCAGCAAGAAAAACCAATAGCTGAACAAAGGGCGGATGAGCTCTTCGGAGTCAATGACCAACCATTAATTAGTTTAAGGAATAGGAGTAGTTTAGTCTCATTGTTATTATTGTTATTATAACTATTATTTTTATTTTATTTTATTGTTACAGTATTATTTTATTGTTATTTTCCTTTTCTCTGTTTGGCCTATATTATTTCTTTGTAAAGCGAATAGGGCAATGTGCAATATGCGCTATATAAATATAACATTATTATTATTTATTATTATTATTATTATATAAACGCTGTTTGTGTGTGTAAAATTTTTAAAATTCAGACCTTGTATAGCTCCAATATTATTCAGTAGTACAGCGTTTCTTGATGCATGTTCGGAAATTGTCTTCCAGTTGCCTTCTGCAAGTAATTCAGCGTATATGGATCTATTTCCGCAAGTCATTTCTTGCAAGTCGTTAAGGAGTTCATCAGATTCATCTGAAGTAACCTCAAGTGGTCTGACCTATAAATTTATTAAATAAAACTTAGCAATAGACAGATTTTACTACTATATGCTTCAAAATTCATTGAATAGCAAACTTCTTTTAGTATAAAATATAAAGCTTTATATATATTTCTCTGCTTGACAAAAGTTGTTAGCCAAAAATGTTTGCTCATGTGATTTAATGATATACTTGGTAACATAATACGAACTGTCACGAGTTTTTTTTTTCTATTAATATAGTATTTAGTTACACTAGCTCGCTGATAGGCCTATTGTTTGTAATGTACCGTAACATACGCTTTTAATATAAGAATGCATTGCAGAGTTTTATTAAATCATTCAGGATATAACTGGATTAACATGAATTTACCTGAATTATGTCAACCATGAAGTCGATGGAAACACCTAATCGATTTTCGATGTTGACCCATATTTCAACCATATAATCTTTATCAGGATGGCCTTCCAACGGGTATATCGTCTGCACGGCTTCCCGTCCAGATTGCAGAGAACGTGGAATGGAATCATTAGATTTTTTCACTTAAAATTTTAAAAATTGTTGAAAATATTAAAACTTATTGTAGATAACGCAGGAATATGTACTAGATAGATACTTGATTTTTATAAAATATATTATTGATAATTCATCATCAGTTTTTTTATATATATATAACTGTATATATACAGTACATAGCAATGACTTCTTTAAATATAAAATACTAGGTCTATCCTACTTTATTTGAAAAATATCATCTGGATCTTACTATAATTAGTATCTTAATTATACCACTCACTTGAATATGAATACTGTACGATGTTCAACCATCCTGTACAGTTAACCAAGACAGGCTCCAAGACCACCAGACTATGTGAAGATAGCAAACATACGCCCCCCGAAGGTGGTAGGTTAATGGTGAACTCCAGCGAAGAACTTCCAGAACGTTGTGATGAATTTACCGAAAGTGTGATCTTGTAGTCCGTGTATCTGAGATCTGACAACATGAGGCTTTTTGAAATGAAGAAAGAGTCTGTCTGCTGACCTATTATAAACCAAACTGTTACTGTTGAATGTTGCTGTTAGTAAGAACTTAGAATTGTTGTTTTCTTTCCATAGCTCCTTCAAATTACGTAAAAACATGCATTTTTATTAGAAAGTGTTCTTAATTACATTAATTTATGTCTTAAGCGGTTGCAGGCGAATTACCAGTAATAATTAACTATGAAATTGAGATTTGAAGCACATGCCATTATCTACCGACAGCATAGTTAATTAAAAAAAACCGAAAGGTTCACTGATTAATCTCAGATAAGAAAGTATAATACATACTCCAAGTATTGAAATACCATCATCATTCCTGATGATGACATAATTAATGTCGAAATATTGAATCCCAGCACGATAGCGTGTATTTCAATACTTGGAGTATGTATTATACTTTCTTATCTGAGATTAATCAGTGGACCTTTCGGTTTTTTTAATTAACTATGCTGTCGGTAGATAATGGCATGTGCTTCAAATCTCAATTCAATTACGTTACAGTAAGCCTGGTGTGTAATCATCATCAATGTATTATTGGCATAAAGTGATAATTAATTCAATTATTTTATAAGCCTACCATATGTATGTGTGGTCAAATCCTCTATCGTTTCGTACACAGAATCATGGAATTCCTTTCTGATTACGTTCCAGTTGAACTGTAGATCCGCGTCGCCAATATCAGCAACAACTCCTGATGTTCGGATATCGGCAGATGGGTTAAGCTGCAAGACACCATTCACGGCTGATGGCTGTACATTAACACTATGAAAAATAAGAATAGTAAGGATTGGCACTTAAACAAACTGAATAGGAACCCAATATAGTAAAGGCTCGATTGACTTACTTTATAACCGGAATTATCAGGTTGCCATCTCTGACGCGGACAACAATAGAAGACTCTCCTACTCTGGTGCCCTTCCTTATAACCACCATCATAACATAATCTAGATTTGATCGCATTAAACTTGTATCCAAGGTAAAGATTCCAGCATCCCAAATCAACTTCCCAGGCCCTGATACGATTGAAGAGAACACATAATTTGAACAGGAAATAAAAAAGAAATTCTTCATTAAATAATATTTAAATATGTTATTAGATAAGTTCACAGATTTAACATGCACCTTTTACGCATATCACACGCATCTAAGCACGCCCTACCATACCAAGCAACTTACTCGCATCTTTGGCTGGTTCTAGGAGGTCGATAACTTAGCTAAACTTTTCTTCACAAAGCAATAATATGGATAATGACAATAACTATTTCACTCTCAATGAAGATAATAATGATAACTGTGATTGTGATGCTGATGGTAATGACAACGTATTGGACTTAAGGAAAGTGCATTTTAATGGTTTACCTACTATACTTACCAGAGCCAAAGCAGCCCGAGAAATGTCCATTTTGCCTATTGGTTGATAATAAACTAAGTCCCCCACCATTTGTAACATTGAACTCTTCCGTGGTTTGGCGGCAATAGTAAGAAAATGATTCGAATGCCTGTAATATTGTAACATTACAAACCAGTTGGCATTATATACAATATGTACACAAATAAATAAATGAACAGGGGAAAAAACATAACTTCTTGCCAACTCCGTTGGCGGAGATAGTGAGATCTATGGTCATGGGACATTGTGACCAAGTTTGTGATTAACACTATGATGGACAATGTTCGTTGTGACCTTGACCTTTGACCCTGACCCTTCAAAATTTAATAAGTTCTACATCTTCTAGTAGGTAAAGGAACATTGTGGCCAAGTTTGATGAATTCCTGATAAAATCTATGAGCCGTAGGCTGTTCACAACAAATATGCCGACAGAAAGATAAACAGATAAACAGAGGCAAAAACATAACCTCCTGCCAACCTCGTTGGCGGAGGTAATAAATAAACTAATACAACTCTACCTGTTCGTCGTCCTGGCTCACATCGGGATCTCGTGAAAATAATTGTGGAGAAAGTGTTAAAGTATCACCGTGCCCTATCCTAATGTCTTTGGAGTCACCATCTATTAGTTTCACGTGTAAATGACTAGCCGTTATTTCCACATATTCCTCTTTAAATGCTGAAAAAACAGCTCCACTTGTAAGCATTGATTCCATGGAAACCACGAGTTTAAAGCGATAAAAACCTATTCTCAACGCCTTCCGTTTGAGAACTAAGGTTAAAGGTCCAGAATCATAAACTTTATCTCCGAATGTTTCTGTATCAACATTTTGCAATGTTCCGTTGATTGTAGAATCCGTTCCCGGTGAAACTCTTTCAACACTCCAAGATTTCTGATTTTTGGATGTCTGACAATCGAACAACACCTCTGCTTCAAGCATGATATCTTGGCTAAATTCCAATTTCCTCGGATTTGCGGGATCAGTGTGGCTATCGAATATATTAACAATTGGTACATTGCAATCTAATGATTTGGGGGCAATGGCATAGATGAAATTCACTTTTTCGTATGAAAACTGGTCCAACCCGTAAACAATCATATTGTAGCTCAAACGCTCCTGACAGACAGTAGATACTTTAAAATTGCTAGTCAAGTTCCCCATCCAAGCTATCATTGTGAATCCACTGCAACTTTTGTTTCCGTACCTTACAGAATGTCCATTTCCAAAATCTACAACAACACATGCGCCATACCCCGTATTCAAAAACGAAATATTGAATGTTTTGTTTTCAAACACATCAACCCTCGGTCCTTCGACGACAGAAATGCCACCTATTGGTCTGACGACCAACAATTGCTTCTTTACCGAAACATCAGTTTCCACTTCAGCACCAGATAAAATCATTTCAATATTGTATAACCCACTCTGTGAAATAGAAATCATATAAATTTGAGATTAAATGTAGGCCCTACTCTCCAAATAAATGTTTTTCCAAAAATGCTTTCAAATAGTTGAATAAGCCAATTTTCATAATAATAATAATAATAATAATAATAATAATAATAATAGTGTAGTTTTATATAGCGCACAAATCCATCTAATGTAAGATGCTCAGGGCGCTTGAAAAGCTCACACCATCGAGATCTTAAACGTTTCACTCGCACACGATGGCCCTTTTCAGTCCGCTTACAATATACCTCACCCCATGCACACACAGAACTTAAATATTAAACAATAAACCAATATAAATTGCTATAGATATTATACAATATATATTGTAAACAATGAACTAATTTATATTCTGTAAACTAATACACTTTTTTTACAATAACATAAAACAAATTTATACTATTATACAATACACTAATATAAATTGTATACAATATACTAATATAAATTATATACATTAATTGAATATATATTATAACTGCCTGATAATACTAGCCGCTCAGTTTTATGTAGAACATCTAGTCGGCGTGTGATTTTAGATCACATTACAGTCTTTATACCAGATGGTTGACCTAGCAGTATTATTCACTGAACCTACTATAATTTTACATAATTTAAAGTCTAATTTAAAGTGGATTGGTTTTTTTTACTGTACCTTTGTAAATGTATACATGATTGATGACTCATTAGCTACGCTATTGACAATTTCATTGTTTGCATCAGCAACATTCCAAGATACGTAAATATCTGTAAAAAGGTTAAATATCATCGTTAAAAACTGCTGATACGACAAACAAAGGGAGTCAACGACTAACGCGTGTAAAAAAAAAATACTGATAAATAAATAGTTACCGGTATGGTATAAAACTTTAACTGACATTGCAGTGAAATGCCGTCTGTTAAACTACTAGAATAGTTTCGGGAATGTCAGCGGATCGGGTCGTTTTGATAATCTGATCGGCATGGTGATCATGTGAATTATGATCTCCCCTTGCTTAATTGGCAATACATTATTTTTTTTTATTGATAACTGATTGATTGATGTTTTATTAAGATATCGAACAAATGCAGAATGACACCAAATTATAAACCAATTCAAGGGTGGCAGTCGTGGCAGGGCGTGTTTGCGGTGAAAAGTGTCAGTGGTGGCGCAAAGATTTTCCTAACATGCAATGTCTGATTAATTGCCCGACGGGGGATTCGACTCTCCGACGAGAGTGTAAGTGGGCGTGGTTGGGCGTCGCTCACAATCCATCGGAAGTGATCCAAATATATGACGATATAATACAATTTCCTCTAAAGACAACTCTATTGATCTTTTTTCTGACAATTTCTCTGTTTTTAACAATAAAATGTGTAAGGTTCTCCACAATATTTCTTAGGTTTTTGGCCTAAAGCTTCTACATTTTTATTGTTTTATTGCTTTTTTTTGTTTTGTTTTGGTTTTTGTGTCTGTTTTTTTTTTAGCTTCTCTTGTTTATATATCCATATTTATACATATATGTTATTGTTAATACATTCAGCAGGATGGGTGTGATTTGAAATAAGATAAAATACAGTAAAATAAAATTTACGGTTCCAAAAGCTTATCGATTTGAGAGTCTACTAAATATGTAAAAAATACATATAATTTCTTTCCCCCTACCTAAGAAGAGTGTTTTTCTCCCCGACGAGGGAATGGAGGGCGGGGGTGTGGGGGAAGCAGCCGTCCCGGAGTAAGGAGTCTATTTTTAGATCTTTTAAAAAATATAATAAGAAGGTCCAAGATTTAATATTTACGGTACATAAGATAAGGTAACATGAGAAAGAAAAGATAAGGAAACATAAGAAAGACCAAGAAAAGGAAAAGAACAAGAAACTTAAGAAATATAATGAAAAGGAATAGATAAGGAAAATGAAAGAAAAGAAAGGGTCGCATGAGAAAAAAAAAGGAAAGAAAGATAAGCTGACATGAGAAAGAAAAGAGAAAGGAAGATAAGGAAACATAAGAAATACAAAGAAAATGAAAAGAACTGGAAACTTAAGAAAGATAACGAAAAGGAATAGATAAAGAAACATAAGAAAGAAAAATGAAAGAAAAGGTCACATGAGAAAGAAAAAGATAAGGTAACATGAGAAAGAAATAGAAAAAAAAGGAAACATAAGAAAGACAAGGATAAGAAAGAAAAGGAGACACTAGAAAGTCAAGGAAATGTAAAGATAATACATCAGAAAGAAAAGGTAAGTAATTGGTAACATAAGAAAGATAAGGAAAAGATAAGAAAAGGGAACATAAGATGCAATGAAATTAAATGTAAAATATACCAGAAAAATACTAACACGGTAATATCTGATAAAAAAGAAATGATAGTTTGTATACCTGCTAAGTTAGTAGGCAATAAATAGAAAGGATGGTATTACTTTGACAAAATGAAAAGGTAGGTCTACATTCTGATTTCTTGTGCTGCCGTTTTTAATTTTCAATAATAAAATTTACACAAAAAAAACATGTTTACACTTTGTTGTTTGTGATTCCTGTTTGTTCTCTACCTGTTGTTTGACACTGCGCCTTGAGCACCAATTTTGGTGGCGATGTTTGCACTTTATTATTATTATTATTATTTGTATTATTATTGTTATTATTATTACATTAATTTTCATTTAGCTACTAGGTCGTCATTCCTATAAATTATTTAAAATACTGACCTACTATATCGTTATTTATACTGAAACGTACGACTGAGTCAGTAGGAATCGTATATAGTCCAGATTCCTGTAACAAACAAGTATCAACTACACATTCCATGTAGAAAGAATGTATGTCTGCAAAATGAAATGAATAATGTCATTACAAAATTAACTCACTGAAAATCACATTAAATTTGAGACATTTCACACGGGTTCGGTATACTGGCTTACTGTAGGTATTTCTGGATATTATATACTGGAGGGTGTTACATTGGTACTGCTTTAAAGCCCGGCTCCGGAGGAAAAATGATTTTTGATATGTCGTAGAATTTATCATGAAAAGCATATTTGACAAAAAAAAACTCGGAATATAATGAGATACAGATTTTTGGATATTATAAAAGGAGAAAAGAGGTGGTTACACCCCACTCCCTTTCCACAGTATTAAAATATTCAAAAATGTGTATCTAATCAACGGCTATCGATTTTTCGTCAAATAATATGCTTTTTTGTGTGTCTTAGAAAAATCAGTTCTACAACATAGTAAACAATATTTTTCTCTGGTGCCTGCTAGCCTAGCCTGGCCTGGCCTGGCCTGGCCTGGCCCAGCCCAGCCCAGCCTGGCTTTATGAGAAGTTCATGTCCCGTTCATACATTGGAATTGCTATATAATTATGTTCAGTTTCAGTTGATTCAGTACCTGGTAAATTATTGTTTTAGATACATGTAGATATGTTTTGGTAAATAATAATAATGATACAAATAATTATATTTAGTATCTTATAATAATTATATGGTTGAAAAATCTTACGCTTGGTTTCACAATTTAAAATTGTCCTTTTAAAGATTCTACTTGGATTTCATGATCATTATCACACTAATTAATATATGAATAGGAATATTTAATCAAATTATTTAAAACTATTCCTACATCAAGGGAAGATTTACTTTTTTTTTTTATTTAAAACTCTTGCTTACCATCTGCAGTATTTAGTTGTACAGTTGTTGGTAATTCGGCGGTTGGTGCTACAGTGGTTAGTGCTACAGTGGTTGTTTCTACAGTGGTAGGTGCTACAGTGGTTGGTGTTGCAGTGGTTGCTTCGACAGTGGTTGCTTCGACAGTGGTTGGTGCGACAGTGGTTGGTGTTAAAGTGGTAGGTGCTACAGTGGTAGGTACTAATAATAGTTTGTGTATTAGTGATTGTATTATTTGTTGCTTCTAATTATACATTATGCAGTTTGTATATAATATTTTCTCTTTATTCATAATAGGAGACGCATTTGCGATAGCACATTATTATTAGTGAATGATAGTGACGTTAGTTATTAGAAGGTGCACCAGTAAACAAAACAAATTAAATTGGGACAGAATTACACTATCACAATACAGTATTGCGGAAATACTCCCGGCATTAACTTTTGTGTGAAACAGTCATAATTAAGGGCAATAATCACGGTTGTAGCGATGCAGTCACATTATTTCTGTAAACAAAATCGTTATAGGAAGGACACCCAGTAGTGTAAGCGGGTCGCTGCTTTAAAGGACGTCCCTGTTTATAGCAGTTATTACCGCCTCCAAAGTTCATAAGAGCTTCTGTGCAGGAAAGTTACATAACCAACCTGAAAGGCGAATAATGTGAATATTATGAGCCTTTAAAACATACACTGTTTGGGTTCAAATTAAAGGACATTTTAAGGAACATTTAGAGCTTCAGTTTTTACAACTGCCACTTTTATATAAAAAATGGTTAAAACTAATATTATAATAATCAATATTATTATTTATTTTCTAACAATAGGCCTATGACAAAGAAGGTTAATTTACCTTGTTTTTTACAAATACCACAGTACCTAACGTCACATCCTTGTTCTTCCCACTCATAGTTTCTTGCTGCGTCTATAATGTGGCATCTCTGATTCTCAAATATTTGTAAGTCAGTAGAATTATACATGTAATCAACTTCGCTGCCATCTGTCCAATAATACGAATTTGTTTCATCAGTTAGAAGGCCAATATAAGCATTGTTGTACCCGGAATCAATAACAAATTGCCTGACAATGTTTGCCTCTTCCAGTGAATGAATTGAAACAACGTTAGCATCGGATACGTCACACTTATTCACCAAATCAACGAAATCATTGTTGCCGCATTTAAATGTATAACATGCATCATGAAACTCAACTCCGGGACAAATCTCTGCAACAAATTTTTTCAATTTCAA